ACTATCTCTATGCCAAATTTATCAAAATCCGTTTAGTGGATTAGGCGTGAAAGAAAGTCAGACAGAGTTACTTTCGCATTTATAATATTAGTATAGTGTATAGTATAGATTGGATAGGACTATTCTTTGAACTGTCATGGTGAAATAGTTATTTACATGTATTTTGTTATTGGATTTGAATTCAAAGATCCAAGTTTCGATAAATATAATGGTGGTGCTTGGGTTTTGACTTTTAAGGCGGAGTTGCACCATCAACTTTGATCGTAATTATAACGTTAACCGGTGTTTTTTGTGTGGAGTATGACATATTTTTGACGATTGTCAATGTTAATTAAGATGGTGCAAGAGATTCAAGAAGCAAATTATTTGTTATTGTTATACGAAAATAAGTATAGCTTTTTTCTGTGAATAACTAAAAGATTAGCATTTCCTTTTTTTAAGTATTAGTGCAAAAATTTTAAGGCAAAACGAGAGGTCGTCAGTTTGACCGTATTAGTTGCTTTCAATCACCACATCTTTAATTTCCTTGGCGTCTTAGAACACCAATTAACGCCAACCAAACAGGTTAGGTTTATGGCCACAGCGGATACCTGTAAACCAATACGGCACGTACCTATCTACGTCCCTTCCATACGGTGGAGATTGAATTATCTTGTTATGTGTGCGTGCACATTGTGCGTTTACCCTATTGATAACGGCCTGTTGATTGACGGTAACTATGCTCAGACTTGCACCACACTTGCACTAAGTCATACTTAGCCTGTTGAGAAGGAATCAACACCATACCTAGTGATCAAATCTCTACCCAGGTAATTAGGAAAAAATATCTTACTTTTAGCATGCATGTCTGTTTAAGATTCAATCGCTCTGATGACGCTATTTTAATTTATAATTTGCACGTTTGCGATTTCAATATTGACTTCAAGGCGAGAGTGAATAGGCACTTACAGGGCAGATATGTACCAGCCTAGACTGCATCTCACTTAAAACCAGGTGCGATTGCGGTCAAATACCTGCCTTGTCTAGCATAAAAAAAAGATTTATCCTTAGATTTAGCCCAAGACACATTAATTTAAATGTAAAAAAGGTTATCGGTAAATTAAAATTATTGTTCAAGCTATCAAAAAGGATCGATCAAAAAGAACGGACGTAGAAATTTTTTAGGCTCAATGACTATTCTCAATGGCTGCGCTGATTTATTTCAGGCATATTAGTATTCGACCGCTTTGTCTAAGGAAACGTGTTTTAATCACTCGATACAAGTTTTAATCAATTCAACTGTTAATCCTTGCTTTTAAAACGGAATTTTCACTCATGTGTACTCCACTGTTCATACATTTGCGCACGTGTGCAACGGACTATGACGCTGCGAAACTTAAAACATGTATTAATTAGTCCAAAAGGTCAATAATCTAAAATTCCCCAAAATCATCATTGTTTCTAAATCGAAATTTTCTCTCGTGTGTACCGCACTGTTCATACATTTTCGTGTATTTGCACACGTGTGCAACGGACCTATGACGCTGCGACCTTGATTAGTGACGTCGATTGGATAGCAATGCAATTCGGAAGTGCCGAATCGGGGGTGGGGACGGAATTAGCGGGCCTTCATTACTACAACCGCTTCGATTATTCACGAGTTTCGGTTATACGCGTGCCATATTATGACGTAATTGATTTGATTTTGATGATAATATTTGCTGGCTTTTGTCATGCTTTGAATGTTAAGCGTCTTTTGAAGCATTTCAAAATCAATCAGCACACACTGTATATCTGGATTTAGCATTTGTTTCTATAATTTTAACGATCTCATAAGAGGCATTCGCTTCACGTTAAATATAAAGTAAAATTATGAAAGAAACTTAAGTTGCGGTAGTTTTCACGATTCAGGAACAGTTTCCACCACAGCGGAGAGAAGAGAAGATATTCTTGAATAAATAGGTCGTTTCAATAACACCTCTCCGCGCGTTCAGCTTCAGAAATATGTAAATAGACAAGTGGCACTTTTTAATCTAATCGAAAATCGAATGCGTTGAAACTCCATCCAAAAAAAGGCTTTTCGGCCATCTTTCGACATAAAAACTGTCACATTGGGCACTTGGTCTGGGGGGGTTAATTGTGTATTGAAACACATCTTCTTACCTCTTCGCTTTGGTGGAAACCGGGTTTCAAAAGGTACCTAATAAGAAGTCGCGAATCAGTCTGACTGAACCATTTCTGACGCACATTGTAGCTCTTTAAGTCTGACTCCAAAGTTACAATCTAAATCGCTACAACAATTAAAAACCTTTATCCAATCAATCAAGTCCCATGTTTACAGTGAAGTACAATGAACTGTCTAATTTCAAGGGTCCTAACACCTATTAGTAATGCGTGAGGGGCGAGTGTCGCGTAGTCGATGAATTATCGAGTGTCTCGGCAGAGGTAGGGTTGCCAGGTCCAAAAACACAAAAGTTGGACTCTGTGCTTCATTTGGCCGGACATTTTACCCTAAAAGCCGGACGTGTCACGAAGAGGGGTGCAATTTATGTCATAGCTCACGAGTAAGTACTATCATCATCGGTTGCCAACATCCTGATGCGTGCGCTTGATATTATTTTGTAGCTCGACTTTCGCCTGGCACGGCAGCCACATAAAAAGCCAATATTTGGTCGGACTAGACCGTAAAAAGCCAAACATATCCGGCTAAAACTGGACACCTGGCGACCCTAGGCGGAGGGACGGATTGACACTCTTGTCGGACAAATTCGACGTCTGCACCTAACCAGTCTCGAGGGAACGAACAAGTTGTTATATCGATATCGGGGTGCCGGTGTGCATACCGTGGTACAAGATTTTAAACTTTAGCGTTCCATTTCAATTAAAATAGTAAGACACGGGTTTTAACGCGACGTTTATTAATGAGTTACATTATGTACTCACGGCTTGACGTTTCGGCTGCGATGCTGCAGCCGTGGTCACAAGCAGACTGGCGGTTCGCGGCGTCGTCCGTTCAGGCGGGCTTGAAAATTTTCAACTACCCTCATATTATTGTCATTATTTGTTACACTACCACTAGTGATGTTACCACGACACACAACACTCACAGTATCCGTATTCGTACTTGACGGCAACGTCAAGCCGTGAGTACATAATGTAACTCGTTAATAAACGTCGCGTTAAGACCCGTGTCTTACTATTTTACCGTGTTAAGTACAGTCAGTGTCAAATAGTTCTAGACACCCAACGTAGACAATAATATCGTAGTCATCTTCCCAAGGCGGAACAGAGCGGAGCGGAGAGGAAAATTGTTTTGAATAACCAATCAGATTTCATTATTCCTACTTCTCACCGCACCGCAGCTCTGCTCGGTACCGCACCACCGCCTCTCTCAAATTTTGTTATATTTTTCGACACTTCTCGGTTTTGATGGAAACCGGGTTTTACGATTGGTATAAGGTTGCGTAATAAACTTTTTGGCCACTTTTGGTGTCACAAACTAACGAACGATTGATTGTGTCTTTATTCGAACTGTGGAACTTAAAAAACTTTATTTACCAAATCATTACAACACTAAATATGTCTGTAGGTATTACATTTTTAAATCACTCTAATTGATTTCATTATAAAATGTAACATAAATAGTTTTTGCATCAAAAGATACAATAGGTAGGTACCTACTTCGTATTTCTCATCTTATTTAACTTACGCTCTTGAACATACTTGACACGTACGAGTAAGTACCTATACACTTTCAAATGCATTCTTCTATCGTATGCAGACGCTGCTCTTTGCGTCTCAAGCAAATTCTTCATCTCAAGCTGATTCGTAGATAATTGAAATAACTTAGCTCAGACGCTCGTCCGATACTCGGGCATGGATGGGATTTAGTATCTATTTTGTAGACAATATTGTTTTGTTTTGGAAATCTGTGAAGACATCTTAGCACCGAATTCTCGCAACGGAACAATACATTTTATTTTGGTTATTATGGCACACGTCATCCGAATAAATTTTAAAATGAGTTTTAAGAATTTATTTAAAATTCTTAAAACTCATTTTATTCTTGCAAGTAGGCTTTAAAAAGCACTTTTACATGTTCCAGTATTAGAGTAGGCGCACACCGTTGATTTTTCGTCGGCCGATAGTTTAGTCGGGCAGTTGATCAGTATGGGCATGTATGGGAGTGCGCACACTACGCCGATTCGATTTGGCCGATTCTTCATACAAATTAAAATCGGGCACAACTATCAGCCAACTAAAAATCAACGGTGAGCGCCTACTCTTAACCCTACCACTGCAATAAATGGACCAGTGAGAGACCAGAGGTGATGTGTTTGAAAAACTAATTGATTTCGATATTTACACAATACCTCTCCTCTCCGCTTTAGGGAAATGGAAACCGGACCAAAGCCACTAACAAACTCCCCTAGTGCTACTACCAAAGAGCAGCCCGTATCGTACTGATGTAGTGTTGTCTCTCCTAGGGCAGCAGCAGCAGTTCCACTTCGCCTTCCCGTTTCTTCCAAACCCTCTGTATTGAAAATCTGTGAGATAACTTAGCGTTATTTTGTGACGGAGCATTATTACAATTAATTTTAGTTGTAAGTAATGAAACGTCATCAGAATAATTCAACATTGGTGTTGTAAAAGACACCTATTATTTTCCCGGTTTTCACCAAATCGGAGAGAAGAGATGTATAGATGTAGGATGGTAATGAGGGCCAAAACCATCAACAAACCCCCCTAGTGCTACTATCAAAGAGCAGCCCGTATCGTACTGATGTAGTGTTGTCTCTCCTAGGGCAGCAGCAACAATTAGTTAATAACGGAAAAAAACTAGTCTTATGCCCGTTTTCACCATCAATCCTTAGTGACCCCTTTGAAAATAAAATTCCTGATAAGTGTTACCATAGGGGTCACTTAAAAATTAAAACGGGTATTAAAACACCAACAAGCCCCTGTAGTGCTACTATCAAAGAGCAGCCCGTATCGTACTGATGTAGTGTTGTCTCTCCTAGGGCAGCAGCAGCAGTTCCACTTCGCCTTCGGCCAGCGGCCGTTCCCGTTCCCCCCGGACCCGCTGGGAGGGTTCCGGATGCCGCCCATCACTACCTGTCAAAGTGAGTATTCTTTAACCTATTTACGAATTTTTAATTACATACTGTACTGTGTATAGGTGTACAACAGTATTAACAGTAGGTATAATAATATGTAGGTATGGTCCACAAGCACATGAAGATATGTTTCTTTTTCTTATAGTTGTCATAGATCATAATAGCACTTCAATGCCAAGTGTAGTTTTCGTAAGCTTGAAGTGTTTTATCAAGAGATAACTTATTCATGGCTCCGTAATTTTTTGATAAGTTTGATAAGATTATGAATTGATACTAGCAAATAGGATTTCATCATTAACTTTAAACCATCACAGGCTGAAGCCTGGCACGAAACAGGGTGAACCCTGTTTCATTTCCCAAATATTTGAATGCGCGACGAGAGGCGAGAACGATGAAATTTTTGAACATGCCATTGCATACCATCATGACGCGCGCTGGCATCTCACATTGCGCCGATCGCGTCAACATTTACGCCAATAATGTTACATCACGCATTTGTTTAATATTGTACTCTGGCTATATTATACATTTATTAAGTATTACAAAAAAAATGAAAAAAAATTAAGTGGCTCAATAACTAAGATGCTTTAGTTATATCGCAAAGATTGTCAATGTCATTCTCTTGATAGTATTTAAGTATACCTAAATATATTTGATATATCAAATTAAAACAAATGTATGCGGAGCCTGCCTGGTGTTTCCTAAACGTGAAAGTGGACTCTAACATCTCTAAAAAGTGCGCGGCAACAGAACTAAATCGCTCAATCACTTAACAGCCAAACGATTTCAAAAACACGCAAGAGAACGATCGAAAAATTCCCCTCGCCAAACAGTATCTAAACTGTTATCTCGTGACGCAAACCTTATAACGGGAACCGCAACTCAAAAGTGAATGAGTCACCAAGCCGATACACTAAACTACGTTCACTAAAGCGCGGATTCAATCAGCTCGCAAAAAGAGAATCGACTGAAAGCCGACTGCGTACGCAATCGAACAACCGAGCGAGTCCGCTAAAATCCACGGCTACCCCAAAACAACTCATGCGGCTCAAAACGGGAAAAAAAAAACACAAATCGACGCGGGGCCATGCATATCGTATAAAAACCGACTCCACCGATCGCTGGCCAAAAACGGAACCGTGATACCGAAAAATAAAAGCCGGTAATACCCTGGAAAAAATAAAGTGCACGCCGATCGGCGCGTTTTGTCCACGCCGGGTATCTTTATAAGTGAGTCGGTTGTTCGCTGTTTTTTGGCAGCGATTTGAATTAGAATTTTTACTTTGCGCTTTAACTTCTGTTGCAGTGGAGTTGTCCAAACTATGCAAACGGGTTGATGTGACTCTAACAGTAATGATTTTGAGGTTTAATAGTTATGATCTTAATAATAAATTGAATATTCTTCGGGTTCAGTCTCTGAACGTTTCAGAGATCAGTACTTTAGTCAATTAAGCTTTTAACCCAAATACGGTTTTGATTACCACATACACAGTGGTGTAGTGGAATCGCACTACGTTGGTGATCAGTTTCACTAGAACTTGGGCTTTATGTTATTCAGGTTTCTGAATAGTTACTGAGGCCAATAATTAAAATAACTGGACGACATATCAAACTTCTATCTACACTCTTTACTCTCTGGCAGGTCTAGCGTCATTATGGATTTTTTTTTTTCAACAAATGTAGTATAATCATGTTCACGTTAAGGCCTATACCTAGCACTGGACATACTGTGGCTAAAATAATAATAATGATGAGTCATCATCATCATAAAACTGTAAGCTTAACACATACAATCGACGGCTCTACATGTACTACCTTTCTCCCCAGACATGAGCCAGTTCGGCTTGAGTTCGAGCAACTCGCACTGGGGCTACGGCGGCGCGGGCGCATACCCGGCGTACTTGCCGTCTTGTGCAGCGCCTGCGGCTTCCCAGTTCAATCCCCCAGCGCTGGGATTCACGGGAACAGTTCCTGAGCAGACGCCCACGCAGGATTTTACTGCGAATAATACTGGTAAGATAAATTAATCAATCTTTAGATATTTTAAAGGCAGACAAATGGGTGTTTTGTATGGGATCGAACGCGTAATCTCTGGACTCCCATGCAGGCGTCGTCGGTAAGAAGAGTATAGTTAGTTTTCCATTTCAATTAACGACGTTTTGGAAAGCTTTTTTCTATTCATTCGTAAAATATGAAAATATATTAAAAACTTATGTTTCTCAATCTATTACCGCTCTTCACTTGTGACGTCCTGACCTGTTTGTAACGCAAAGTCTATTTATTTTGCTAATGTTTATTTTGTATGTACTTTTCGCTGCCTCAAATGAAACCCTGAAATTTTAGAGCTGATTGTCCAAATGAAACTTAAACATCCAACTAACGTTTTTCCCTTCCTGAAATCATTAACGTGTTTTGATTTATAGCAGGTAACTCATTAAATCTCGGTCGAAATTAAATCCACCGACGTTTTACGAGTGACATCCTCCTCGGAGGCGTACGTTCGGACGTTAACCGACCCTCAGTATAATTTACGACGACGTGACGGACGAGATACGACCGATACCATTAACATATTGACCGAGTCCATACGTCAGTGTTTGCATTTGTTTTTTTTTGTTTTGTTTTTAAACGCAACTCTTCTGAGGTCGGCTTAGCAGTTTGTGTAGTAGAGATAATCAAATTACGGTACATTTTAGTGATGTGATGTTATAGTCTATCCAATATAGCTTGATTAGAATGACAGCTATCAAACGAATGTGACTAGTGCTGTTACGTATGTATGTATGTTTCGTACGGTTCACATAGATGTATCGATAAGTTTTCGAAAAAATGATATAAAAAAATGCACCCAATTTTTCTTCATATCTTTATTCATAAAAATGACAATTATAATTTAAATTTAAAGACAGTAAAATTTAAAATTCATGTCAAGGGTGTACAACCTAAGTCGTAGTCATTATCATCAATGTTCTTCAGTGGTTTTTTCCTCTCGCTAGAGGGCGGTGGGCATCTCTTCTAGAGCAACGGTGCTATGAATACCCAAAAAAATACCGGTGATTGATTTCCAATGTTTGATTATTTAAGAATGAAATGTTTTTTGGTTTTTAATAGTGAACATTTAGAAAAACGTATAACTTGACTTAAATATGTTAAAAAATTAGTTAGAAAAAAAATTAGTTCAATATGTTAAAAAAATAGTTTTAATTTAATATGACATTTGTCGATATGTCCCATCACTAACATTTTTGTAACTCGAGATAACCTTGTAGAGACGTCATTAATACTCTAGCTTGATTTTTATAATTTCGAATTACTACTTATTGGTGTAATTTAACGCTGCATTTACACGAAATTAACATTTTTATTGGAAGCACTGTCGTCGAAAATATTGTTTGTAGGTCAGACGTGAATTATTTCTTGTCCGCCAATATTTAGCTCTCATTGATCGCTACTACAAAGTTATGTCGTTACTTTTGATGGCAGCTGTCATTCTAATCAAGCTATATTGGATAGACTATAAGTTAAAATAAGGGATATTGTCATCCTTAATGGATGACGTGTTCAGGAAATGTGATCTTTGTAAGGAAGATAGCATTATTTCAATCCAAAATGATCATCTAGTATTAAGAATTCTGTTTTAGAAATGGAACCGTAATTTTTCAAATCTGAAAATTTTGTCACTTAAGTTTATTGTTCTTATTTTTTTATGCATAAATAAGATATTTTCCACCTATTAAACTATGCAAAATATAGGTCTATGTTGGTATTATTCGAGTTTTCCCTTATTCCTAGGATCCAGAAAATTCCTCAAGCATTAACATAAAAATGTCTGCAGATAAAATAGCTGTCTGAATTTATAGCCTATACGTGCCATTCCCGCTCCAATACCGATAGATGTTATTTAAAACTTTTAAAATTCCAGACGAATTCATAAAATGGCTCAGCTGAAATTAGCCTGGTTTTGAAAATAAGTCACAGTTTTGCATACCGCTTACGTAATTTTTTCTTTTGTCTAGTTCTACCAGACACGACAGGCGTGGACCTGGACCAACAGTTATCAGGGCTGGTGGGGTCATCGCCCTCGCACCACGGCACCCTCCTACCACGGTACAACAACAACGCAGACTACAGTCTCTCCACAGGCCCTCGATCGCTAAGCGATAATAGTTCACAGCCCGAATCGCCAGTTCAGGATGACCTGCTCACATCGAATACGACGACGAACATTGGCCATAACCACACAAACACATCGAACTTCCCTTCATTGATGGGGACGCAAAACTCGTCGTATGGTAGCAGTAACTGCAACAATTCTCTCTATCCAGTGTTACCGGCGAGTTTGCTGTATAGTCAGCTGTATACAGCAGCGAATCAGACGCACAACTTCCATCCATTGCACTCGAATACAATCCACTCTACCCAAAACCATCACAATGAGTTACAAACCATGATGGATCAGATCTCTTCGACGACGAACAGTCATAGACAGCATGGTAACCACGGACAGAATGATCTTTTGCTTGGTGGTGGGAACTCTTGCGCAGCTGCTGCGGCGAGAGGGGAAGATGGAAGAGTTAATAACCTCGGTCAGAGGGGGAATCCTCAGCCTGACAGCAACACGGTTTGGCGACCTTATTAAAGAATTTGGATATGTACTTTATTTCTTCGTACAATTGATTTAGCTCGGACATCATTAGATGTGACGTTGTAATAAGATCATGGAGTAAGGAATTTGTGAGAAAGATCCAAAAAAGGATCAAGAGAATATTTCATAAGAAATAAAAATGAACGAAGAATAAATCTTCAATACGATGGATTTTGAAGAAGCCAAAAGAAAAATGTCGCCATTTATTTAAAGCTTAAGGTGTATAAGGTAAATAGTGCAACGAAGTAGATACCGAAATTACTGTAATTATGTAAATGTTTATAATTAACGTACGGATAACGTAATTATTAGCTAAATTTGTATCTACGTTCTAAAATTCGGTCCCGTCCTGAAATTATACGATGTTTGTCATTGAATTTTAATTGATTTTTGAATTTATTACATAAATATTCAGTATCTCATACTATTGTGCAATTTGATCTTATTTTAATTTTATTTGTTTTACAACATTAGGGCATATACATTTCGATATGCTTAAATGAGAGTAGGTATACCTATTTGTAACTGAGAAATACACATACATATTTTAATTTATATCGAAATAATTTGTATGCCGACAAGGCTGATCACGGCTTGAACACATATCTTGTTTGTACATCATACTGCTTACCTGTGTTTCACAAATAAATTATTTGAATTTGAATTTGAATTTGAGTAATTATAATACATTATTACATTGATAAAACATATCAAAACAAACTAATTTTCATTATGTTTTATGTATAAAATAGTGCAATAGGATTTTGAAATAACAATTTTGATTTCTATACATTGTAAATAATATTGTGAATAAGTTGTTGTAAATGCATCTTGTAAAGTGCAATAGATGTGCAACTATAAAGTTGAGTAGATGTATACTGAAATAAAATAGTACAGGTGTCACATGACAACGACAAACGCGACGATACATAACGCTACGCGGCTATACATAACGCTAAGCGACGATACATAACGCTACGCTTCACAACGATACCCAACGCGATATGATGCTACCTGTAACATCCTACGTTAGGTCGCGTCTAGGCCATAGTATGACGTCATAATTATGACGCTACAAGCAGGTAATGAACGTCTCGTGACGTCGCGTTGGTCGCTGACATAGGACACCTTGTAACTCTATCTGTTGAGTATGTCCATTTGTAAATAATTATTTTCGTCACTCTGTTGTATTTTAATTGTGGTTTAATCGCTTTTTTATTTGTTAGAAAAAGTGCCAAATAACGTTTTGTTGTGTCCGTTTTATTCTAACATATTTTTGAACATTTAGCATCAATCATAGAGATATGGATGATCACCTATCAAAATAATATTTTATTTAATATCGACAAAGTTGTTTATGATTGAATTAGGTAGGATAGGAAGGTCTTGATAAGTTTATCAAGTAGGTATTGATTTTATTGAAGAAGTTCGTAAAAGAACGGAACGAAAATGCTCTTAAAAATCTGTGTCACTTTGTCGGAAGCAAATCCATACTTTAATGTAATACTTCCACAAAAATTGGATACTGTGCAATATTAATTAGTTTATTAATTAGCTCTATCAATTGTCATTATTTTTACATTTGCATAGCAACTGGCATTTGATTTCGATTTGTCGTTGTATTTCTGTTGACTTGAAGTAGCGGAAATAATTTTACATTAAAAATATTGTATAAAATTATTCGGTGTTTTCATTTTCCAAAAACCTATAAAAAGAGGAATAATCATTATACTAGTGCTGGAAGTTGCTTCATACAAAACAATCACTGCATCTCATAGCCATCACCACCGTATCATAACGAACTTTAATAAAAATGTACGCAAAATAACAATTTGTACGAAATGCTTTTATAAAATGAAACTACAATTTGAATTGCGAGTAAAATTATGACCGCCAAAGACTGCGCATTACAGTAATGAGATCATTACTGCAATTCTATTTACTTAATATGTAGGTATATTGCACATTGCTGTGTATTTACTCTGTTCATGTGTGTGTGCACTGTTCATGTTTTATATGCTACCTTTTTTCGCCCCACATAAAAAATATAAAAGTGAGAAATAAGTGGTGATTTACTGAATAATACTACTGAACTCCTAGATCTTAGGTCCTTGTGAATATGAAAGTAAGGCGAGCCCGCCAGTGAGCGGTCTTTTTAAATACATGGGAAATCTACGCGAAGCTTGAACAACAAGTAAGTGTCCCTTATTATTTGTTAAAAGTGTCAATGTACAGAAAATCAAACATTTTTGAGATGTAGGTGAACTTTCATAAAAATGTATTTGTAACAAGGTGAAAGTATCGACAGGTTGTTAATTAAAAACGCTCTATTTGCCAGAACTTTATGGTTTTGTAGAAAACGTTTGCATTTGGTCTAAAACATTGATTTTAACTTTCAAGCCTTTTGTTATTATAATTTGTAATTACTTATTATTATGATACAAATCTCTCATTATGCGCATTATGCAAATCTATCATCGTCATCATCATCATTATCATCCAATTGCTATACAAGTGCTTTACAATAGACGCTTATGAGCAAGACTCCTGTTTTATTTTATGGAGCCATTGCCAATTTTTTCCTAAGGTCGTTGGTCCGTGGATAAGTGAAGCACCCAACACTAGGTAGGTTTGCTGAGACGACTCCATCCACTTGAGAATTTTTTGCTCTACCTGTTATTGGTCCTGTAGCATCTTTTTTTTTAATTTTTTTTTATGCTAGCCAAGGCAGGCAGCCAATCTTCTTTAAGTTATAGTTACTACCGTCAGAGAAATAAAAAACTGCCCATTATTTCGTTCTTCCAATTAAATACAAAATAGTGCCTACGAAACAACAATTACCAATTTATTAGTAACGTTGTGACCGCCGAAGGCTTCCCATAGCTTAATGAGTTCATTACTACATCAGGAACATTTGCATATTACCTGCTCGCAATCGAGAGCGCCGCTGATATTTTGGCATCGGCAAACGAACCTCTGAAATAAATATCCCACCCTCATTAATTTGCGCCAATGTGATACGATGGACAGACAGACTCACGCCCACTGCTGGTAGGAGGACCATCAAGTTTTAATATGGAGGACACGGAAATAATTATGGGAATGAGCTGGCCATGTTGTAGCAAAAAGTGACTGAGTTTCTTGCGCTGCTTCTTCTCAGCACTGGCCCATTTATTGCCCGAAGCAGTGGCAGGGTTAATACTGGGACGTGTAAAAGTGTTTTCAAAAGCCTATTTGCAAAAATAAATGAGTTAGTTTTTTTAAATGTGGTTAGCTTAGCCGCGTAAGATAACAAATAAAGCCAAACTAAGGCTCGAGATTTTAACTGAAGAAAGCTTTGGCAAGTTAAAGGGATATACAACGCTAATTTTAATATAAATTAACCCTATTTCTTTGCAACTTCCACAGAACCAAAAGCTATTTTTCTACTGTCTCCAATTGACATTCAGAAGAAAGGAATCGAGAGCTACCTTTTGGTTTTCATTCGTACGCTCTAACTCGCTCGCTCAAAATAACCTCCTTATCCAGTCTACCGCAAGGTACGAGTGCATCATGAAGCTTTCATCAAGATTACGTGATGGCATATTTTACACCCAAGTACTAGCGCTTGAGTCCAACTTACGGGACTATTTCCACCTCTCGCTCCCACCGCTGCAACTCCTGTGTAGCCAGGATCTACAGCTTGACCGCCAATAAAACCCAACCAGTGAAGGTCAAGTTTGTCTCGGAGGAAAATTGTAAAAGCTTGAGTCCTTGCTCTTGACCTGATTTTTGTCCGTTCTTTTCCAAACAGCTAGTCGCACTGATTGTCACCTGAGCAGCGATAATATATGCGATTCTACCCGCGGCACGGGCTCGGGAAAAATCGATGCCAGACCGATTTGTTCGGCAGTAATGAGATTTAAAATTGCCAAGTAATTAATGAGGATTAGCGTTCCATCGAACAGAGATGGATTGCGAGGCCTAGCTTTGAATTAAATAATTCGATCATGGGCTCAACCGCGATGAAGGCTTTGTTTTGATTATTTTAGAGATAAAAGCAGTTGGGCCAATGAAATACATAAAGTTACTCCTCGGATAAGCACATAATAATATAAAAACTGTGAAATAAGTAGGCCTATTATTAAGCAAAACTCAAGTATGTATACCTTATTTAAGCTGCCACTAGTAAATATTGATTTTCAGCCAAACACAGACTTTAGTTTAATATATTAGGGTTTTGAGCTTCGTTTTCGATACTAAAAATCTACACCTATGAGTAGGTACTGTGTTGATGATATTGTACCTTCGATTATCTCTACTTGTACTTTGCGTTTATAACTCTGCTCCAGATTTTGCGGTCACCCCTGAAGAGTCATGTGAACACATCGCTGTAACGGCTATCTGTGAATGGAAATTTTATGTTACCAGTGGTTTCAAACCTTTTAAATGGGGATCAGGGATGACTTTTATTTCCCAACTATACCAGTGGACCATTAATTGATTGCTACATAGGTTGGGAACCAAACAGACAGGCAGTGTTTATGTTGAAGTAGTGATAATGATGATTCAAGAACGCTTTTTTCATTTTAGTCCAAACAATAGAAGAAAATAATAAGGATTTTGTATCATAATAGAAGCAGAAATGTGAAAAGATTTTCATATAATTATCTGATATCACCTTTAACATTCCACAGTCACAGCGTTTAGAAAATGTATCAAAATCTGTGGCTAGTTTCAAAAGAGCAACTATTTATTTTCAAAGTTTATTAAATTCCAAACACATAACGCAACAGAACCTAAACCAAACATAATGAACTGTTTGCGAATGCGATATTCATTTTGCTGGAGTGTTTGCTATTAATTACAACAATCAATATTTTACGCTCGGCCGAGTGAAAACTACAACACAAACTGTGCGAGCCAGATAACACGAATACTCATAAAGACAGATATTTTGCGATATTATTTTGTGCACGATTCTGATAATTTTAATATCGGGTTGTAATTATTCGGATCGGAGTTCGATGGCCAGATACGTTACGGGCAATGTTTTATTTACTTGAAAGAGGTGTTGAACTGTTGATGTTTAGGTAAGTTCTTTGATGGTAACAGGAGACGTCTGTGAAAAATTGATAGCAATAAAAATAACCTCAAGAAATAAAAATTACTTTTAAAACGATTAACACCAAATTAAAATAATTATGAGAGCTTTTTTTTATCCATAACGAGGAAGCTCTTGGCCTGTATCTCACGTGATGGTAAGTGATGATCAGGCCGATTCAACATTTTAGAATGACCAAATAATAATTAATAGCTACAGGTAAACAACAGTGTACCTAATAAAAATCAGAACACATAACAAAAAACATAGTACAAGTAAATTATGAAATAGGTACGGTACAAATACTTATGCCTAAGCTAGTTTTTTATCGACCAGACGACGTCATAACAACCTTTAAACT